GACATCATACCAGTCACATTTGGTTTACAACCTGGTTCTCCCATTTGATTTACAGCAATCCTCTTTGGAGACAGGGAGATAAGACATCTAGCAGGACACATGATTTGTAGAAGACTACTTTGACTTTGTTAACCTTGTAGTGCCGGTCAGTACTTTTGGGTTCTTCTCTGACTTGTATTTTTATGTTGATTTTGATAGTGTTTTATTTAGTTTTTCTCTTGCCGGGGTTGTAGAGATGTGTTTTCTTTCCCTTACACAAGGTGACCGTTTGTGGGATGTACTTCTGCCACAAAGGTTTGTTTTTTATTTAGGAATGTTTAATTGGGTTTTGCAATGATACTTGGCTGGTTGTCTATTGTCAGTAGATGTGATTTTGATTTAGTATGTTGATAATCTCCTGCTAGCTGCTGCTGCACATTTGGCTATACCTAATTATAATTTGCCGTTTAATTTGGATTTTTCTATAACATAACTGACGTTCTTTGCAGTTCTGTTTCAGAAAAAGGGGGAGAGCAGATAATTCTCCAGTAAAACATGAGATTAAAATGAGAGAACTAGAGGAAGCATGGATTCTGTGGTGATTCATGCGAGGACTGTTGATGCTTAGATATAAAAGTTTGTAAATGGTAAGTATTACGATTGAATAGGTGGAACAGAACCACTTGGTAAAATCATTCAACATCAAAAGAGTTTTCGCCAGAAGAACTATCTATGTGGAAGGCAAGAGCCATTTGTGAAGGATGAGCCATCATGAGCTGACATCTAATTAAAGAGTATGTGCCATACAGCCGCACATATACAAAAATATGCACAATCAATAACTTATTTTTGCAGCTTAAACGGAGACGGTTCATTGTGGGTGCACGTGTGTTTCTCGTTTAGGTTGACATGCTTTCAAATCTATTTTCAGTCAGACATTTTCCCAGGATTTCTTTTGGAGTGTATTTTAATTACAAATTTATTTATTATATTCTTGTATTATACTTTAATAGTTTATTTGAGTTAGAAGTAAGTGCTTAATTGCTTAATTTTTTTTTTTTTTTTTTGCTTGATTGGACTTTCTGGGGGCAGAGCCTGTAGCTGTAACAAGCAGGGCTCTGTTCCACATGCGAGGGAGTCTGCACCTAGGTTTTGAAGGTGCTGCTGTGCTCCTTTCATTCTCACCTGCTTTGGACATTTGTTGTCATGATTTTGCACCTGCCATTTTGATACACTGCACAGATAGAAAATAGATGTCACTATAGTAATCTCTGGCCTTGGCCCATCATTTTTGTGTGTGGTGGCCCCGTCACACCGTCACAGGTCCGGTTGATAAGGTGATTCTCCCCGTAATATGAAAATAAATGTTTTTCCAGGTAACACATGGAACGACACAGGTACGTTTTCACAGGTAGGTATTGAGGTGTTTTGAAGCCATTTTCTCAGGATGTTCTTCATCTACAAGCTGGACAGTAAACTGTCACAAGGATTTAATTACTTATTAGATTCCAGTGATGGATTCCAGGAACTAATGAGGTAGGTTGATGCTACATTTCAGGTATCAGGATCTCCAGACAGTGGAACAAAATCCTGGGTTTGAATCTTTTTTTTTTTTTTGGTACAATATATTATCCATAATTTACAGGCAAAAGTGGAGATTGAATGAAACAATAAACAAGAATTGGCTAAAATCTGTGCACAGACAAAATTTAATGGGGTAGTTGCAGTGCCTGTTATATTGCCTGTTGCTTTGTTGTCTGTTAGGATGTCCGTTAATAAATTTACAGGGCTTTTCTCTTCGTACGAGCATGAGATCAGAAGATTTCCAGGGCCAGCCGTCAGAACTCCCAGATGGACAGGTAACCCTGTACATTTATCTCATAAAAGATTTTTTTGATGAGTTACAGTTAATAGCAGCGGAGTTGTGGAGTACCAGGGGTCACAGGAGAGGTCGGAGAAGAGAACTGCATCAGGGTACAACTGGGTCATCAAAACGGCAGTGGTCTGAATCCTGCTTCACTGAGCTCTACCAAGTCATGGAGAGGACGTCCGAGCCGCTCCGACTGAAGGTGTGGATGAGAGACCTGGTTCTGATGGGGCCAGCAGAGGATCTTCAGTTCACATCAGATGTGGAAGAGCATTCTCATCCCCAGTCTGACCCAGAGGAGGAGCCACACTCAGGGCCAGAAGGATAGCAGATTTATTCTTGCTATAGGTTCTGGTTCATGGAGTTCAACGTTTTGAGGCCCAAAACAGGCATAATAATCCTTTTTGGATTTTCTCTAATTGAATGAGAGGGTGCAATCCCTCCATCACACTCACTGTGTTGGCATAATAATCCAATATTCAGTGAGCATCGCGTATTCAGGAAGGACGCCTGAAAAACTGTCGGGTTCAAGAAGAAAGAGTTGCCGATTATTGCGAACTGTTGCGAACATTTCTTCCTATTTTTTCTCCAGTCTTTTTAATTTTTCTTCACCAAAGATTTTATATCTTTCAGGAACAATCGATGGACACGAAGCAACATAAAGAAGTAAAGACATTATTGTTTAATATAAGTATGTGACTGTATGTATTTGTGTTATTTTTCTCTTCACAGCATTGTTGTGTTTTTACTGTTGTTATTCTATGGTGATATTTTACTGTATGATTATTTGTTGTGTATGGTTGGATGTTTTTTACTGCTTTTAGGTGACAGGAAGTTTTTATGTTTTTGTGATTTTGTATTGATGTTATGTGATGTATGTTTTTCTTCTTTTTGATGTTACTGGGGGTATCAAGTCTTATTCTTTTTGGAAGGTGGAGAGACGGAGCTGTTTGGGTAATGTCTGTCAGGGGGAATGTTAATCTTTGTTAAATCCTTATGTGTTTGCTTCCAGGTAAGTATGGTCGAATACTTTAGGTGATCTCTTTTTTAAAGAGATCAAAAGGGGGAATGTTGAAATTGAATTTTAAATTAGCACAATAGTACACAGGCTAATCTTTACTTAAGACAAACTTAGATAAAGATTCAAACTAAAACAACTGGCCACTCTAAAAGTTTTACATGAATTGTATAGGGAGGATCTTAAAGAAAGACAGACTAAGCCTTCCTTAAATCTCTTTAGACAGGGCATCTATCTGCCAGACAATTAACAAATTCCTTAGCGTGGTTCAAAAGTTCACTAGGATCTTAAAACTTTTTAGAAATAATTTTATCTATATTAGAATTAAATATATTTCTTTAAGCATTAAAAAGCATGTTTTTAATGAGTAAGTTTTAGATCCAACTTATAGTTAGTATTAAGCAATACATTTTGTGCGAGTTTGTTTAAAAAACACCAACTGATTTCTTGTGGAATCATTTGAGGCAGAAAACTAAAACAGACAGAGGTCGTAAATTTAGCTCTGGGAGAGTTTGCAGGAGACGCCTGGTACGGCAGAGACCCAGTTTGACAATCCATATATCTGCCTTTGGGCTCTTTAGCAGGAGGTAATAAAATTAACATTTAAGACAGCCCACACAAAGGAAAACACACCTCCTAATGCATATTTAAATGAGGAGAATACACATTCTATAAAATGATTTGTTTTACAGCAGAAGTTCGAATCTCTTTGTGCTGAGTGAGAGTTTCCCAGAAGATGCATCTTTTGTCTGTTTTTATTTCCCTTTTTACTCAGTTAATTGTTTCTGTTTTGTCATGTCTTGGACTTTTGATGATCTAGGTGAGATGCTCATTGTATTATTCTTCTTGCATTGATTTTCACTGGATAAAACTCTGGATACCTGAAGTCTGACGTCGTATGATTGCTCTTTCTCCCTGCACATGTATACAGACACAAGAATCTAGGACAAGAGGAATAAATAAACGAGCTAAATCAAGTTATTCCTCTTTTTAATTCTTAACACTTTCCACAGCATTTCATACATAGAACGAGTTTTACAGACAGAACCATGAGGTGACTAGAGGTGTCAGCGTTTTTTATTTTGAATATTGATTTTTCAGAGTACCTGTACGCTGAGAGGCTCAGGTGAGCTCCAGCTTGGCCAACACGTCTTTGAACTGATGGTGGAAGATTTCAACACCAAAAACGTGACGCTGACGTACGCAGACGGCAGTACGGTGGCCCGGGAGGCCTCCAGCAGCAGCATGCCTCCGCTCTGCAGGCTGACGCTGCAGTTCGTGGTGGAGGGTGAGGCTGGTCATCAAATTCAGCCAATAAACCATTTAATAATAATAATGACACGTCACTGACTTCTCACGAATATTCCTGACTTCTTCTTGTTTTCATATCTCAAATTGCAGTATTTAATGCATTTATGAATTATCTAGTGATTAAAGACAATTTATTTGAAAATAAAAAATAAAATGAATACATTTAACTTTATTTTGCTGAATAAAGTCTCTGGCTATATTAAATATAAACTGTTATAATTATACTACACATTATCTTTTTATTTATTTATAAACAAAAAAAAAATAAAAGAACATTTTATATGAAAGGCTTTAAGCTGAATAACAAAGATAGCAGAAGAAACTGGAGAGGCGATATAATCCTATTTGATCTAAAACATTTTTACATTTATAACATCGAACAGCTAAATGCTTTTTGACTCCATCGTTCTTTCATTAAATCCTCTCTGTTTTTGATTCAGTCCTTTCTGCAACATCAAGCTGCGTGGCCGGTGACCTCCTGCCCATGTTCCTGTCCCGGACGCCATCACACGGAGACGTTCTCCACGCCAGCGTGGGTCAGACGCTGCAGCTCCACGCTGAGGCCCAGGCCCAGAACGCCCAGTACGGACCGAAGGAGCGCCACTTCCTGCAGCCTCTCTGCATCCTCTCTGCATGCTGTTACTCACCTGTCCTGTTTCATGCTGTTACACACCTGTCCTCTATCATGCTGTTACACACCTGTCCTCTATCATGCTGTTACACACCTGTCCTCTATCATGCTGTTACACACCTGTCCTGTTTCATGCTGTTACACACCTGTCCTGTTTGCTCCTCTGAAGGATTCAGGTCTTCCAGGTCAGCGGCCCCAAAACGTGACCAAGGATTTCCGAAGCGGGTCAGACGGGAAAACAGAGATCACTCTGAGCTGGACCCCGCAGGAAAGCGACGCTAACAAACTCGTCCCGATTTGTTTCACTGCAGACACGGCGACAACGTGAGTAATTCATTACACAGAAACATCCTGCTTTTCTGTCCAGCTGCTGAAAAAGACCAGTGGTACTCAGGATGAGTTTTATCATTTTTAATTCAATTTTAATCCAATTAGTTCCTTAAACACCTTTAGATATGGATACAAATCCCAGTTAACACTAATTTATAGTCATTGTTTTGTAAAAAAAAATTTTAACTGCGTGTTCAGACCATTATAGATTGGAAAAAAGGAGAAATAAAAAAACAAAGATTTCTGAAATTTTTTTCTTTTTCAAACTCAGAAATTAATTTTTTAGGAGACTTCTGAGAATCTCAAATTTTCCAGAAGTTTTATCCAAAATGTTTTGATATTAATCTCAGAATTTCAGAATTTTTTTGACAAACATTTATTCCTTTTTCCATGTATAATGGCCCAAAAACATTATTGTTAAAACAAAGTATAATTCAAAATGCTGCTGAGCAGTTAACTGTAAAATAATTACATAACCAATGAAAGTATACATCATACACTTCTGTTTAAAATAAAACGCTTGTGTTATTGTGGAGATGATGCAAATACTGGACAGCAGATTAATATTAGAGAATGAATTAGGGTTCATAAGATGTGAAATTGTAACCAAAGAGGTTGGTGCCAAATTTTCAAAAATAATTTCCAAATAAATAAATGAAGCATTAGATTAAAAACACAGAACAGGAGCTTGAACTGACATTTAAATGGTAAAATTTGACCGTGTCTAAGAAGCAAATTTGATTCAGTTACTGGATTTAGGCTGATAAATGTTGGCTGTTTGTAGTCGAGTTATAATGTTTCATAAAACAAAAAGTGTCATAACTTTGATCAAAATTGGTCTGAAATCTGAAGAGCTGCTATAAAACAATGGCTGTAAAAATGAAACCGAAACAAAAAGTCCAAACTCACCAAGCAGAATAAATGTTTTCCATGTTATTTAGATATTATCTAATTCTACTGGCTTCATACCTGCAACAACTTTTGTTTTTATCCCACAGCCAATCAGAGATGAGATGTGTCATTGTCATGGTGACCCATACTGCCGTCCTGCAAGGTTTGTTCATAACAAACATTGTTTTCATTTCTGCATCCAGTTTGTACACTTAATAAATATTCAATGTTCAATGTTTCTGCTGCAAAACATTAACAGTTCAGAGTTCTGTCTACGTTTCACCAGAACTCTTGTGCTGTTGTTTGGAAACCATTTTTAAGTAACACAATAAGAAACACTTGCTTATTGTGACATTCCTGATAACCAGATCATTTGTGTGGTTTTCAGGCAGAGCCTCTGTCACCTGCTTGCCCAACAAGATGACGGTGGCCTTGGAGAAAGCCTCCATGCCAGACATCAGTGAGGAGTTTCTGTCCCTCAGAGACCCGTCCTGCACGCTCACCACCAACGGCACCCACATCGTGGGAACCATGTCCTTCAGCACCTGTGGCACAAAGCTGGAGGTGTGGAATAAATCAGAACGACCTCGGCCCGATTCCTCTCTGCCCTTTCGCTTTTTTCACTCTGACCTTTCACCTTAAAACAGGACAAAGGAGACTACATCGTCTTTAAGAACGAGATCCACTCCGTCGTGCGGTCCAACGAGGTCATCATCCGGAGGAACAATGTCAAGATCGACTTCTACTGCGAGTTTCCCAAAACCATCAGCGTCTCCAACTTCTACCACCTCCACCAGGCTGACTACATCTTCACCGAGTCCAACTTTGGCAGCTTCGGCTACAGCTTCGAGATATTCCAGGACGGCAACTTCACCAGCAGGGTGCCGCCCGACGCCTACCCGGTGCAGGTCAAGATGATGGAGATGATTTACATGGGCATCCAGGCCGTGTCAGAGCTGCCAAACGTCACCTTGTTTGTCGAGTCGTGCAAAGGAACTCCGGACAACAACCCTAAAAACCCCATGTACTACGACCTCATCAAGAACGGGTGAGTCCTGCTGCTCAGAAACACTCGCTGAAGACGCTCAGAGAAACAATTTCATCTGTTGTCTTCCAGGTGTGTCAAAGACGAGACGGTTAAGGTCCACCCGTCAAACCAGACGAACTTCAACTTTGAGCTCCAAGCCTTTAAATTCAACGGAAATTATGACCAGGTAGGAAAAACCAGAGTCATCCAAACTTATACCATCTTTCTCCTTTATTCATCCTTCCACTTAATGGAAAATCCTCCATGATGCACCACCACCTCAACTTCACCACATGACATTTTTTACACTGTGGCCATGTAACTCAAGCTTCATTTCACTGTTTACTACGATCTTATTTGACCCAACGGTATTCCTCTTTGTCAAATTTAATCCATCCACACTGTGATTACTCAGATAAACGCCTGACGCCAATTTATCGTCCTCAAGAGATTCTACATGCCAGCTAGACATTCATCCCAAACAAGCTGACTGGAGCGGAAAGGATTTGTTAGTGAAGACAGTTCAAACGTCATAAAAACACCATACAGTCATCAAAACCATCAAATATGTTGATCAAAGTTCCAGTTGTTATGAATCAGAGGAAACTAAGCAGACAGGTTTTTAGTCTAGATTTCTGTTTTTCAGTTTTCTGGAAGTTTGATCCAGATATGTGGTACATAGAAGCTGAATGCTGTTTCTCCATGTTTGGGTCTGGTTCTGGAGACAGAGCAGAACCAGAACCAGAAGACCTGAGCGGTGAGGAAGGTTGATACAACAGCAGCAGATCTTTAAGCCGTTCAGTGGTTTATAAACTGACAATGGTATTTTTCCAGATCTTACTCAGGGCACCCTTTCAATCCTGGAAATGTTCTTCATGTGACAGAAGGCCGACTTCTTAACCGTCTTTATGTGTCTCAGAATGTTCAGGTCTGAGTCTTTCACTCGACCCCGGTGGATCCTGGTGACATTGTAATTTAGAGCTTGTAATGAATATGAGGGGTTGTCGGATTGAGCCTTGTGGTACTCCACATGTGAGTTTTGCTCATTCCTTTTTACACAAAGAAGTTTCTGTTCTTTAGGTGAGATTTGAACCAATTAGATTTTTAAGAAAAAGCTTTTATTGTGAAGCAAGTAGGTTCTGGAGATGTTTGAATTGTTTTGTTCTGATCCCATTAAATTATAAATCACATCAAGATATTTCCAGATCCTCCTGAGAGTGGCATCGGGGAGGAAGAACAGGACAGCCAAACTACTTCCTGATCAAACACCAGAGGTCCTTGGGTCAACAGTAAAGGAAATTCTTGTTTTGTTTCTTCACATTCCACCTCAGGTTTACATCATCTGCAACGTCATCCTGTGTGAGCCTGGGAATCCCTTTTCCCGATGTGCGCAGGGATGTCTGAGCGAGCCGTCCCGCCGACGCAGACGAGGCCTGAGCATGGAGACCACCGGACACTACATTACCCAGGGTCCTCTGCAAGTGGCTGGGCTGGCTGGTCCCAGTTCACATGCGGAGCACAAGAAGATAAATGCGGCTCCAAAAAGTCACACGGCTCCTGAAGGTCAGAGTCTGAGCAACCTGACAGTCGGGTTTGCTGTTTGAGTGAAAACATTTTCCGGATGTCTGATGTCCTGATGTGAATTCTGCAGGAGTTGTTCCAGAAACCAGATCGGACGGAGAAACCTGGAGGTTCAGGGAGATGTTTTCCTCCAACATCACCACAGTGACGCTGGGCAGCGGCTTCGTCCTGTCGCTGGTTCTGCTGGCCGTGGTGGTCCACTACTTCAGCAGGAAGAGGAGAGCTGAAGACCTCAACCTTCTCATTGAGGACGAGTTTGAGAAATAAATTTGCCGCCTCCCTCTGGAAACAGATGAATTAAAGGAGACAAACTAAACCATCTTTTTCCCCCAAAGCACAGGTCTGAGATCAGTTGTGGTCAGAATCACAACTCAGTTATTTCCATTTCTCACCTGGTTTTACAAAATCCAGTGAAAAGTTTCAATCCAAACCACATTTTAGAGCCAATTAACATATTTTGTTTCTAAGTACAGAAATATTACCCAATGAGTTTTCAGTAACTGGGTTATTATACTATGCAAAAAAGATAGTTGATGCAACAATCAGAAGTTTAATTTAGGCTTTTTTTCACTCAATATTTAACATTTATTCCTCAGCAGGAAAAAAGGATTTAATTTTACTTTCTTTGTTTTTAGACCAGCCCAGAATTTTGTTTGTATCTAATAAAAACATGTTTTCTGATCAGATCCAGTTTCTTTTAGCCAAACAATCAAACTGTATTTCAGTCATTATCCAGATTTATCTGATCACTCAAATCTTTGAAGATGCATCCAAACAAAAATGAAAGCTTGTTTTTTCAGTTTAGACTCCCAACTATCAGGTTTCAGTAATGCGTCTCCTTTAATTCATGTTTCCTTCATGCAGGCAGCCTTATGATATTTTATCTAAATCTGATATAATAATTCTGGAGTTTTTATTGGTTAAATCTTATTTTGCTTTGAAAAAATATTTTAGAGGAACTTCTGAGCTAAAATTGCTTTCAATGCTTCAGATTTTCACAGTTTTCTTGCCAGCAGAAATGATCCAACTAGTCGACAGATGTGAATGAATCAGCTGTTTTCAGATACTGCGCGTGAGAAAAACCAGCTGATCGGATCTCGGACCCGGTTCCACTTCACCTGCAGCAATGCTGCACCTGAAACACGCTCAGCTGGATGCCTTCATGTTACTGTCCTTTTCTCATAAACACCTCCACATGTTTTGATGTCCTGATTAGGGTTGTCTGGTTATGGAAACTAAATTCAGCATTTATATTTTTCCTACAGTAAAAACAGGAGGGTATGATGTATACATTCATTGGTTATGTAATAAAAAGCTTATGGGAGCTTGTGTGGAGTGTTTTTTTTATTTCATGTTTTGAATTCAGTTGAATTGTAATTCAATATTTGGAGAGAGAAGGAATCTCAACCTGATGATCTGAACAGATTCTACAGAGCAAAAAGTCTGAGCAACAAAATCTGATCAGGTTTTGTTGATATTGTCATCTTAAAATCTAATGTGAAACACATTTATATCTAAATATTAAAAATGTGTGTGTATTTGTAAGTGTGGATGTGTGGATGTGGCTTCAGTGGAAGTATGATGAAAAGTACTACCCACAAATACAACATAAATCCCGTCCATTTACTTAAGAAAAATCAAAAGCTGTTTTTAACTTTTTATTTTTTACATACTAATAAAAAAATAACCAATAAGATTCCATCTGTGAAGCTAAACAATCACAAATGAACAACAATAATTTGGTGTTAATTTTTATGTCATAAGAGGAAAAAATGGTGGTTCATTTTTCACGTCGTTCATAAATGTCAGTTTAAATCTAAATATTTAATTTCTACGCTAAATATTTAGATTAAAGGATAAATATTAGCTTAGAAGTAAATATTTCAAATTAACTATTTCAAACTAAAAAAATTAAATATTGAGTATTTAAATAAAATATGTAGATTGTTAGCAGAATATTTATCTTGCTAATTAAAACAATGAATAATATTCTGGAAATATGAATCTAAAAACTGAAGCTCCATTTTTTTTCAGTTTCTACAATAAATAAACCAAATTATTGCTGTTAGTTGTTATCGCTGTAGCTCTTACATTGAGTTTTTCTGCAGTGATTATAAGCCTTAATGTTACCCCATAAGGTAACGGTAAGGCTTGTTACCCTGTGGCTCTGCAATGCCTCCACCAAAAGCAGTTTGGTAAAAGGGATTTAGCTCATCTTTCATGGGTGCAACAAACAAACTCAACTCTGCAAACTAAACACATGCAACTTTCCCAACAAATGAAATGCGGCGTCATTTAACGGAAAATAAACAGGATTTTCAGCAGCATAAAATTTAGCCAAAGAAGTCTAGTTATTTTTTAAATCAAATTCAGACAATTCAGTTCAAACTGAAGAAAATATTTGTAATCATGACAATCTGCAGCCATAACAGCAGGGGGCGCTGGAGGTCAGAGTAATGTCTGTGTAGCTGCTCATTGCAACACATCATCACTTAAAGCGAATATTTTTGTCACGTTTTAAGGCACTGTGGTTTTTAAAATTTCTCTTTCAAACATAACAGAATATGGAATACTGTAAAAAAATAAAATAAAAAATTCTTTAAGCCTCTTCAAGCTTAAAGAATTTTTTAAAATGTTTTTTTACATAATATTTTTATGTCATGTAAAATGTTGGACATAACATAAAAACAAACAAACACACAAAAAAAACTAGAGGGGGACACAAAGTTCCTACAAATAAAAATTTAAAAAAATAAATAAATTGACTTAAAATGTACATTTTTAAAATTTTACATTCAAACACCCATTATGAAAGCCTCTAAGTTTTTTCAGTGTTACTCCTCTCGAGTTCAATTAAACTTAACGCAGTTCTTGATTTTCTACAGCCATTTATTTCAGACACGTTCTTCGAGGTCCTCAAAAAATGCCGTCAGAACTACAAAAAAGGTAACACAACCTAAATCAGTTCACAACAAATGGCACAATATAACAAAAGATCCATACAACAAAACTGTACCTCATTAGCTGCATCAACTCCAGAGGAATAAAGTCTAATCTTCTCACAGTCTCTCCAGCCCGCATGACCCACATGGCTCCAAATGCGACAGCCAAAGCTCCCCGGGCAACACATGCCGCGCGGAACAAAACAAAAGTTCCCCCTCTATATTCCAATGTACACCCAACATAAAACCAATAAAATTACTACTGCCACCTTAAACAAAAAAACAAAAATAAAAAACAAGAGGCAGTTGTCCTGACAGCAGCCACATTCAGGATGCAAAAGTTTATATTTATAATAAACTCTTCTTTTCTTTCTTTGACTGAATACCCGCCGTCTGTACAAATTAAAAAATAAATCATAACCATTCCTGCATTCTTTTAATACTTCAAACAGATTTTCACACAAACAAGTTCAATCATTTGAGCAGTTCAATCATTTCATCTCTCAAATATTTTGTTGAGCATATTTAAACTATTATTTTAATAGCTAGAAATTAACAATGTAGTTAAGAATGTATTTAATAATAGCAGATAAGATGAAAGATGTAGTTTTATTTGAGATTTTATTTTCTTTCTTGTTTCCATTTGGTGATAATGACTTATGACTTTTATATAAAAGGAACAAATTATGGAAATGGAAACAAACCAACTCCACAATGAACATCACTTCAAAATAATCAAATTTAAAGATCCGCTGTTGCTGAATCAACCTTCAGACTTCTCAGGTCTTCTGGTTCTGGGGATGTAGAACCAGAACCAGAACCAAACATGGAGAAGCAGCATTCAGCTTCTGTGCACCACAAATCTGGAAAAACTTCAGCTGAAACACTGAGCTCCTTTAAACCCGACCTGTTAGCAGTAACTGGAGCGCAGTGGAACCTGCAGCTCTATCAGCAGGTCTGCACTGTTTGCAGCCGCATCTAAATTCACCTCAGTTCTGTGACCTCAGGTTGTCTGACGCTTCGTTTTCCTGGTTGCTTCACAAACGTTTGATACTCACTGCATCTCACTGAATGTGTTTGCTGAGCAGTCAGCAACTCTCACGGTAATTTAAGGTGTGAACACAATGTGCCAGTAACAATGAAAGAATTTATGAGCACAGATGAAAAACTCAGACACGTGCTTAAACATCAGCTGTTCTTGCATGCCAGAGTTTAGTTTAATTGAAAGCAGTTGATCTTGATTGTAAATACAGGAAAAAAAGTTTTTTGTCATGAAGTGGTTGATCTTGGTGGTGAGGCTGGACGCAGCTGGACCCAGATTTTGGTGAATGTGGTGGGTTTAATGAAGACCACAGAGTCCAGAAGTCCAGACAGCACAGGTGAGCAATAAGGTAGGAGCTCAGAGACACAAGGGGTAATCAGGAAACACGAGACACAGCTGGGAACAATCAAAGAAAATCTAATTGAACTAAAACACAACACAAGAACCTAAATCCTCACACTTTTACCTTCATTTTTATTTTTTAGTAATTTGTGACCAATCAGTTGTTAAGGTGTGTAGAACTGAACAAATATCTGGTTTCCATGCTCACTATTCCACAACAACCAGTAACCAGAACAACTAAATACTTCATCAGAGTCAGAGCTGGATTAAAAAATCAGCTTTTCACATTTTACACTAAAATATTGTCAGGAAACATTAAATGTTGTAAAAGTATCCAAAAAAGAGTCCTTATGGATGTTGATGCTGTGAGCTTGAACGACCTCCAGTAGAAGTCAGTGTTGCAACAAATCTGAAAAGGCCACTGACTAAAGACTGCTGCTATTTGCCGACCTCATTAGTGTCATGACAGCTCAGTCTAGATGATCAGTTGTTGAGCACAGCTCATCCACCTCCTTTGCATTTGCTACTCCTTATTACATCTCTGCCCTTATGTTTCAAACGACGCTGGAGAACAGGATGTGGTCCTGGAAGAGATGGAAGGCGCATTCTCCTTGTCTCTCTGCATTCATGAAGCCTCTTCAACTCAGTTTTACATCATAAAAACTGTTCCAGGTGGAAACAAAAACCAAAAACAAAAGCCTTTCCAGCTGAACAGCATCCAGACACAAAGGGAATAAATGATCAACCACGCAATGACTCGACTAAAGTAATATGAACAAAAGTCTGGGGAAAAAACCAAATCAGAACTGCTCTAACAGCGATATTTGAACGAGCTTCCACAGTGTACACAACTGATACCTGAGCTATTGTGTATGTGTCTTCAATTTGCCAGATTTTTGTTGTCAGGTTCTGTATGCAGCCAACAAGTACATTGTATTTATTTCTACAGTTCAGTTTTTCTAGCTTATGGTTAATACCAAAGAATACAAAAAGTAGAAGGTTCCCAGAGATCAAGCTAATCTTAGGATCTAAATATTGCCCAGCAGAAAATAAACACATTTTAAATTCCATTTTGTCACCTTCTACACTCTAATTTGAATGTGTTTAATCAGGATGTCATAAGTCAGACCAACACAGAGTGGTGCTTTAAATGTGAAGGGGAATACATTGCATTCAGAAGACATAAAATGCTGTGGAAATTCTCTTCAAAAGTCAACCAATTAGTAACTGCATTCCAGCTGTGTGTGA